AACATCTAGAGCAAATAAGAGTGAAAAAAGTCAAAGACTCGAGGAAATAATTCATCCTAAGGACAAGTGGACCACGCTAACCACAGCACCCACTAACCTGAAACCAGAAGTACTAGCTGGGGTCCAGGTACCACTACCTGTCACTTTGACCATCACAGTAGGTGATCCCAGACAAAGTGGGGGGAAAATGCTCTGAGGCTAATGGAAATACCACAAGTAAATAGCTTTTAACAACCAGAAATGTATTCTCTCACAGTTTGGGAGGCTAGATGTCTGAATCCAGAGTACTGGTTCTAGCAAAAGATCCTTGTCTCCTTTCAGCATCTGTAGACCCAGCATTCCTAAGAGATTTCCGTGTGTCTTGGTACCATTGCTTACTGAAAGTGAAGAGAACTTAAAATACTTACTGATGAAGACCAAAGTCCACAGCCTTTGGCATGGGTTGCATCTTTTTGTAAAGAAAACAAAAATTCTCACCTCTGGACCAGTAAATAGTATCATGATAAATGGAGAAAAGACTGAAGTTGTCAGACTTCATTTTGGTTGGAGCCATTATCAGCACTGGAAGCAGCAAACAAAAAATCAACTAGCATATTGCATTAGGCAAATCTGCTGCACAAAACTTCTTTAAAGTGTTCAAGAGCAAATATGTCAGACTGAGGACTAAGGTGGGCCTGACTCAAGCCAGGGTATTTTCTGGTGCCTCATATACATGTGAAAGTTGGACAGTGAATAAGGAAGACCACAAACGAATCAATGCATTTGAGTTAGGCTGCTGGAGAAGAATATTAACAGTACCATGGACTGTCAGAAGAGCAAACATCTGTGTTGGATGAGGTGCAGCCAGAATGTTCCTTAGAAGCTAGGATGGTGAGACTTTATCTCTCAGACTTTGGACATGTTATCAGGAGGGACCAGTCCCTAGAGAAGGGCATCATGTTTGGTAACGTCTGCAAAAAAAGAGGAGACCCCAACGAGATGGATTGGTTTAGTGCCAGCAGCAGTGGGCTCAAGCATACCAGCAATTGTGAGAAGGATACAGGACCGGGCAAAGTTTCTTTCTGTTGTGCACGAGGTTGCTAGGAACCAACTTGATGCTACCTAACAACAACAAGGAGCTTCACAGTGCAGGGACCCCAAGTTCAAAGGACACTTCTCTCCTAACTCTTCTTTCCTGGTGGTAGTAGTTCCCCTTTCTCTGCTCACTTTTCTCTCCTTTTCTGTCCTATAAGATTAAAGGTATTTCAGGTCACACCCCTGCATTAGATCAGGGTTTTGATGGGATTAAGGGTGGATCCCATTACTTCTTTGGCCAGTTTCCTCATCTGTTTAAACAAGAAAAATTTGTACAAGGTGATTGTGAGGACTAGAAAGTACGTATGTGGAGGTGCGGGGACCGGGGGGGGCGTTGCTTATCCAGAGCAGACATTCAGTATGTCGTCATCACTGCCATCTTCATCAATAACTGTAACACTCTGAAGTTTGTGTCTCTGAGTAAATTTGGGTTGTTGAGCATTTCCATTATAGCTCTATAATTTCTCATCATAACAAATTCCAATTTCATGCCTGAAAAGAAAAATGTCATCCTCCTTGTGACACCTTTATTGAGGACACTCCGAGTTTTGAGCATCTTGTTAAACTATAACAACTTCTCTGCCCTCTGTTTGCCCACTTTTTTTTTTTTTTTACCAATTTTGTAATATCACTGAAGTTTTCCTTTTACAAATACATCCTAAAATGACCAACTTGTTAGCACAGAGTTCTACATGTTGGGATTGTTCGCCTTCTATCTTCTTATCTCTTTGTCCCCATGTGTCTTGGTGATAAATCATCTGGGATGCATATATAGATTGTCAGTTGTAATAAAGCTATCAATTCCTGAGACACATGTAACCATCGTAGAGCATAATTTAATCTATAATTTTGTGCCTATATCCAAGTTTCTTTTAAGGGTTTTTAAGCCAAAGAATGGCATTTTGAGAAAATTGTATGTATAACAAATACCATGAAACAGATGCCATTGTCAACACAAGTTACTGTGTCATTTGTTTCAAATGCCAAGTTATAGGTCATGGTCTGCTTAATAAACTGATATTTGAGAGTGCTGCAAAGGAATCGGGTGAGCCCTTAGAGTTTAGCAGAATGTGCTTTTACCTCAAATGTAAAGAACTTGAAAGCTGGTAAAATTCATGTGGGAATAAGACCATTTAAATGAAATCAGTTTATATGTTCTACAGTACTAAGAGACTTGCACTTTATATCACAAACCACTCTATAAAATGTGTGGGTATTATGCCTTCATCTCTAGTCATTAAACTTTTTCAGCAAATGTCATCCTTACAAATTAATCCTCATTATCCCACTGGAAACCAAAACCTGTTCTTAAATGTTGCTATTAGCTGCTGTGGAGTTGGTTCTAAACTCATGACAACCCCCATGTACAACAGAACAAACCATTGGCTAGTTCTATACAATCCTCACAATTGTTGGTATGGGCCAATCCATTATTGCAGCTTCTAGCATAGAAAGTTCATCTTCCAGCACATACACAGTATTCTGTTGTGATCTATGAAGTTTTCATTGGCTGGTTTTCAGAAGAAAATCACGTCTTTCTTCCTAGTCAGTTTAAGTCTACAAGCTCTGCTGAGACTTGTGCACCAGAATGACCTGCTGGTATCTGGAATACCAATGGTATAGCTTCCAGTTTCACAGCAACATACAAGTCACTACAGTACAACCAACTGGCAAATGGGTGATGTTTTCTGGCATATACCCTTTTAATACTTCATTTCAACTATGCAAGTACATGGCATTCAATACCAAGACCATTGAGCTACTTCTAAATTTACCATATATATAAGCATTTTCTTTTCTTCTTCACCCTCCAATCCAAACTAGAGAAAGGAGGCTGTGTTTTCTGAATCCTAGGGTACTGCCACTCTCATAAATCTTTGTTCTTGGAAATCTTCGCGTCTGTGCTCTGAGAATCGTCGGCTCACCCAGAGTTACACCGATATCCGGGGTCCAACAAACAGGAGGTCCATTTGCTTTCAGCAGTGAGTGTGTAATAGGAGCCTGGCAGAAACAAATGACCTGTCAGTCAGAGGCAGTTGTACATACACTTTGTGTCCTCATTTGTAAACCAGGAGGTCTGTTTACAGACAGTCAGTGACACAGTCAGTGTGCTTTGTAAACTGTAAAGTGCTGTCACATATAAGCTGGAATGAGATTACTAATAGCCTCAAACTGCCTTTTCCTTGTCCTCCATCCTCTCTGGAACTGGAGGAGCCAGCATCCCTCCATCTGCCACCCAGGTGAGGATAGAGAGAAAGAGAGAGAAAACAAAGGTCAGGTAGGGCTATTTAAGCAAAAAGGAGCCCTGGTGGCTCGATGGTTAAGCACTCAGCTGCTAATTGAAAAGTTGACAGTTTGAACCCACCCAGTAGTTCCTCAGGAGAAAGACCTGGTGATCTGCTTCTGTATAAAGATTTCAGAAAAGCAAACACTATGGGCAGTTTGGGAGTCCTAGTGTGGCACTGTGGGTTAATGCACTGGACAGCAAAGTCAGTTTGAACCACAAACTTGGCAGTTTAAGCACACCAGCTGCTCCTGGGAAACCCTATACAGGGTCGCTGTGGGTTGGAACCCACTCAGTGGCACTAAACAACAACAGCATGGGCAGTTTCACTCAGTCACATGGGATCAATATGAGTGAAAATCAGTTCGATGGCATCCATCAACAACAGTTTAGCCTCCCAGGCCATTGTCCTTCCATTCAGCCCACCCAGAGTGCCTGTTCCAAGCTACTCCATGAACTTACCTAATTAACCTTTAGGAGGACAAGAAAATAATTGGCTACTTCTTAGTGAGTGCTGTTCTAAAGTGAGGCAGGGCTGGGGCAAATCAGCTGAAAGGATCTTTACTCATAGATAATATTTTTCTTGTTCTTCATAAAATGCCTCTAGGAGGAACACAGGAGTAAATGGAAGCATTGAACAGTGTTCTTTCCAGACCTATGGTCAGAGTCAAAAGAAAAAAAACACATGCTAAAGAAAATAATGACATACCCCCTCCAATTGTCTGTCCTTTTCAAAGTCATCGTAGCTCCCTCTTTAAGAATATTTTCTGAAAGAGCAGAGAAGAGACACATTATAACAAGGAGTGCATGTGCTTTCCATGTAACAAGGGTCAGACCAGACACCTTGGTGAAGCACTGGTGTTATAAGGCCATTATCTATAAAAGCAAATCATTATATTTGTTTAGTATCTCTCTAGAGGGGTTCCCACAGCACTGTTTGCAAACCCTTCTCTCTGCCCACTGCCTTGAGTTTTAGTCACCGTCTTAGTTCCCTAATGCAGCTGAAACAAATAGCACAAGTGGGAGACTTAAAAAAAAAAACTAACTGATTTTTCTCACTGTTACAGAAACTAAAAATCTTGACTGTCAATTATTTCCTTGTAGGTAATCTCAAACTTTAGTTGGTTGGAAACTCTGCATGACTATAAGCTTAGTTTGAAACTGCGGCAGTCTTGAGGATACTTTGGCTTGTCTGGGACTGGACTGCCTTTCTTATTGTAGGATATGTAAGGCCTAGTCTCAACTTCACCTGAGGTGCTAAAACAGTACAATAAGAAGTGTTAGTCATATACTCAAGACTGTTCTGCCAGCAAGTAGTCTAATGTTATTCGGTGGTCTTTGACCATCTTAAAACTGTATGCTGGCTAATCGAAACCTATACCTTGCAGCAAGAAAACAATTATCCTTAGCATATTTTTATATAGGGATGAGGGGGAAAGGAAGGGGTTTCCTTGACCTAAAAATTCCAAGTGTACAGAAACCAATGCTTTTAGAGACCTTGTTTTCTTCCAGCCATTCCTTAGGCAGAAACAGATGAATCCATTCATGTCTCTCCTACTAGTCTGTAAATTCTGTTCATCACTAAGTTGGCATTTGGGGACTTCTCTTTTCCTTTTATTGCTTTAACACTAGACGAGCGAAGAAGAGGAAGAAGAGGTAGAGGAAGAGGAGGAAGACCTGGAAGAAGATAGGAAGTCCACAAAAGAAGAGGAGAGTGAAGCCCCGAAGTCTCCAGAGCCGCCTCCACCAGTCCCTGCCTTGGCTCCCTCTGAGGGACCACCCCTGCAGGCCCTGGGCCAGCCCTCAGGCTCCTTCATCTGTGAAATGCCCAACTGTGGGGCTGTAAGTGTCTCTGCACCCTTTGCACTCTGGGACTAATGTGTCTATGCAGCCGTGCCTTACTTTAAGAGCTCATGCCTTTTCAAAGTCTTCAACAATTCAAATGTTGTACAGGGAATTCCATGTCCCTGTTATTTTCTTTGTTTCTTTCCATTGACATATCCATTCAGCTAGCTAAGATGTACGGAGTGTGTATCTGTGATAAGCACTATGATGAGTGCTCTGGGGACACAAAGGAGGACCTGTATGCCGGAAGTTGACAACTAAGGGCTTCACTGCCATTGCAGTAGCTCTGTAGTGGTCACTGGCTTCCAGAACCTTCCGACCATGCTTCTTGGTGCTCCTCCTCTCCTCTGGGCTGTGTGTCACACAAGTCATGCCATGTAAACATGCACATGCATTTAAATGCCCTGGGGTGCCCACAGAGGACCGTTGTTTTGTAATAATGTAATAATTACTCATCTCCCCTACTCCTTGCAGCTTTAACTGACTGGGTGGTTTTCGCATTTCATGTTCCGTAAGATGTTCTTCATTTGAGAAAGTTGTTACAAAGATTCAGCCAAAATCTATCTTTGTGCTATATGGAACTAAAAAAAAAAAAAAAAAAATCTTCTATGCATATTAACCAGGTAAAAAGGCTGAAAGGTGGTCTGTGCAATTACTTAACCTAATGCATTTTAAGTATTCTAGAAGCATCACTTAGTTAAAATAAAACAAATTCACAGACTGATCATTCTTGTCACTAAAGGAAGTACTTACAGAATCTGTACTGGTCTCATGTAAGGCACATGTGTATAGTAAGGGGTCTTACTTTGGATTCTTCCCAGTCCCACTAGTTTGAAAACCCTCCTCTCTGCCCATGGGCAGAGTAAATTCATAAGCATTTCCCAAATAAGGGTTCTTAAAGCCAGGCACACCTGTATAGGCCTGTTTGAGAGTCACCCCCAAAAACGTGGCTTTTCTTCCGCAAATCCCGTTTTCCACAATAGTGTTTTCCCTGTTGTTGGTTCATTGTATCAGACAGTGCTGTCTTTTAGAGTTTATTGGTGCTGTCTGTTGAGTCTGTCACTTGGATGAAGAAAGCAGCAGCCTAAAAATATTTAGATCCTAAAGCAGAAATCCACTTGGTTTATATAGTTATGAAAAAGATGGAAAAGTGTCTTTAAAAAGCAATATATATTTTGCATTAGCTTTCAAAAGGACATAAGAAATTGCCAGCTTGTTTCTATCTTTGATGTTTTATGAATGCTTCATTCCATCATTGCCGTTTTGTATAGAATGCTTCAGTTCAGGGATGACTAAGATGTGACTTTAAATAACATTGTTTCTGGGTGGACTTGTCCAAACTTGAATACTTCCTTAATTCCCAGTTTTGATATACAGTAAATATTTTACTGGGTGGG